TAATATTTGGAGCTCCTGGTTGCTGGGACTTGAGGACTGTGACCAGATGTAGCCAACCTTTATGCATGTTTGATTGTTTATAACAGCAGTCCTCGTTTTGATCTATATGCGATTTACACAAGGTATCTTCAGAAAATACCGAATGAAAAGTCCGGTAGCGTCATCATTTTTCTGACGACCTTTTACCCATTTCGTCTACCTTCAGCAGGTTTACATGAGTTGGACAGTTTCTCGTGACATCATTTTGGCCTCAGAAGCAGGGACGGTTCCCATCCGGGGAACCGGGGTCTAATGGCATCACTGATGGAAACTCGTCGTGCTCTTATGATATGGAAATGGACGTTCACTTATCACTTACCGCCGTGTAAACAGGACAGCGGTTACACCCAGGCAGACTGGTCCTATCAAGTGACCCACTTATCCCCTTGGGTATAAGACGATTTAATTCGAGGCTTGTGGGTGAATTTTTAGAAGGTAAGAAAATCCTTCAGCTTTGACGCTCTTTCGGTGCATAGTCGCTGTACCACCCGTAGGCAGCATGAGGGCCGAGCTACCGTCAGGTTACCGAAGTCTACACAGGAGCAGTTGAGATGCTGAGGTTGGGTTCGGACCACGGACCTTCTGATCAGAAAGTATGAGTCCTAACCACTGAGCTCTCTCGAGCTCTAATAAGTAGAGGGGGATTTGACAGATCTTGGCTGAGAACTTGAGTACGAATGGCATGGGTGAGAGTGAGTATTCTGGGGGTGAATTTGAGTCGTACCAGTAACCGGGACCTATCGAGGGTGCTTTCGGATGGTTTCATTGCAGCGTAAAACATTTGAAACAGGCACTCTAGGTAATTTCACAACTGTATAGTTCCGCAATCATTATCTTTATCACAGATAAAGCGAACTACCAAATGTCGACTTCTTAACCTAACTTGACCCGACCGCGTGCGGGAGCGGCCAAAGTGTTAGCGCTTGTGATCGATGGTCCTTTTGGAAGGATCGTACCCTTGGGACAAGCCCCAGGGAATTGGACCCTGGTAGGCTCTTCCTCTAGTGGGTGGACTGTATATTCTTTGATACAAAAATGGACAGCACTGTGTTTGGAACGACACAATGGGCCAACGTTTTACAAAGAGCCTTATTATTTAAAATGTGGACTCTAAAGAAGCTTTGAACTCAGTTAAGTCTAGCAGCGATCGTTCATTATGGGGCTTACTTCGGTAACCGCAGTTTTGCCACACAAGAAAAAGCAGTAAAAAGAACTTTCTCAGCCCGGGGCCCATTTTTCGGACAGATCTGGTATCAGTTAGCGAGCGAATGAAGCTGTTTAACCGTTGCTCACTTGTGAAGCTTGGCTGATTTCAGTGTTTTGAACGTGGGCTACGTAGAAAGCTGCGTTTCAAACGCTCGTTTAACAACAATATTTAAGGATTAAGAAGTCATCCAGGTTGCAGCTTGTACTTGGGCTGTATCTATCGATGCACTATAATTGTGTGCAAGTCTTTGAGAATTCCGAGAACGAATAAGTGGACTGACGGATCTTCCGGAAACGATTATCGATTTTTGAAAAAAGTGTTCCCAGACATACATAATGCAACCAAAAAAACAGTCCTGGAATGGGAATTTAACCCGCAACTTCTTCCTTTCCTGCTCTGTGCTCTATCAACTGAGTTACCGCGGACGCTTGTGGAGCACTCACCCGGTAGGCGAGAGGTCGGGGGTTCGAGTCCCATTTAGGGACTGTCCTCTCGGTTGCATTTTGTGTTTGGCTCCGTGTTCAAGTTTTTCCGAATTCCCACTCGTTTTATGTCGACTTGCTTGACACCATACACTCGGTGCCTCCGTTTAGCGTGGACCTCTTCCATAGTGTAGCATTGTCTAGATTCCAGAACCGGGCCTTTTTAGACACAATTCAGTCATTACTGCTTCTCCACGTTTCTCTACGCAGGTTAGCGGTAGTTCTACGTCTCCGACCACAAACTCTGCCACTCCGCGGATCACGGCAAGCGCATTGTCACAAGCTCTCGCATCCGTGCCATCCCTCACTGCCCGTCAGAACCTCCCAACCACTTCCTCATCATCCACCGCTGCTTCACACACAGCTGAATCCATCGCTGTTCATACTGAAAATCGGTGGGCGACGCAGTTAGCTCAGCTGGCTGAAATGGGCGTCACAGATGAGCTGGCTGCTAGACAAGCTCTTGAGGCAACCAACGGTGATATTGCAATGGCTGTGCAACTGTTATTCGGTTGAAGCCCCTCTCAGCTTTTCTTCACGATGTATCAATACTAAATTAAACATTCACTTCGTTCTTTTTTGTGAGGGGAGCAGGATGCCTTGGGATCTTGAAAGAAAAACCCTACGGGCAAAAATGATCGAGCTGGACGACATCAAGTGTGATGCAAAGCCAGACCATTTTCCAGTTCAAGGTCTTCTGATAGAAAATGACTAAAAGTAGACGGTGACCCTCAAATACCTATCTCAGTATAATTATGGTGGAATGCAATGTCATTAAAATAACCTTTTTTGGTGAGCGTATAATTAACATCGAAAAGATGAGCCGCAGTCAATCAGTTGACTCTGTATTTGTTCCGCCTCGTCAACACAGATGTACGTGATGTGAGTTCAGTCAGACATACTGAAACGTCCTGTTATAGATAATGGGAACGACTTATTCAGTTATGTGCAAGTCATGGTCTCTTCCTGGCCAGTACGAGCTTCCTACACCAACGCTCACATCAAGTTAAATGTATACCACCAACCGCGGGACAGTCATGGACTCAGTTGGACCATGTGGCTATCCGTTGCTGATGGAGGGCTTCGATTAATGATTGCTGTTCCTTCTGAGGGTACGGAGCTTGACTCTGATCAGCCTTTGTGCGGGCCCGCTTAACACCGCTTTCCGGTTGAATCACGCATGTCAAAGCGGAGCAACTGCATTAGTCAGCCTGAGTTTCAGTAATTCAGGAGTATCGATGTGATCTGGCTAGAAAGCTACTGGAAACGCACAGTTATGTAGATGATGAAGATTGCTTGGAGGTCTAATGGAAGCTATGACCTCAGCTTTAAGAACTGTACGTTCAAGCTATCCGTTTCGACTAAATGGACAGTGGATATCTTTGGGACCAACCTGTCAAAAGAATGAAGATGTCAGTGAAACTATGGGGAGAAGACGAAACGGCAGTTCACTCCCTCAACCGTTATCTTGAACTTAGCATTTCATAGAACAGTTCAGGTGGTCTCCAACACAGCTACCGGAAGACGTCAGCTTGGATAAAAAATCGACACCAGCCTACCATCAACAACAGAAATCCAGCGTGGGATACCGATCCTCAAGCGTGACAGGGCGCATGGCGTGGATGGTCTGTACCCGCAGTCTTTAAAGAAGGTGGCGACGTCCTGGTGAACAGTCTGACAACCATACTGCAGGAGGTTTGGGACGAAAACAGAATGCATATCCGAACGGATCTCCTCGACCGTCATCCCAGTCTTTAAAAAAGGCGCAATAACCTCGTGGAAACCATCTTGTTATTAGCCTGGTATCCGTCGAAAGTGCTCTCTGGCATTGTTTTGCGCAGATTGATGGATTATCGGGAGAGACAGATTCATGAGAATCAAGCTAGATTTTGCCCTGGTCGAGGACGCATCGACCATATCTTTACCTTCAGACAAATTCATGAACAGCGCCTCTCCTTCAAACGTCTGACGTTAGTAGTTTTCCTGGATTTGAAAGCTGCTTTTGATTCTGTCGATTGTCAGATACTTTGGCAGTGCGTGGCGATCATAGATGTCCGTTTCTAATTTATTTCCCTTATAAGGGCACTGTATGCGAATTCCTGTGGACCCGTACCAGTAAACTGTACGCTTTCGCCTGAGTTCATCGTGTCAAGTGGTATGATACAAGACTGCCCTCTCATCGTTCCTCCTCAACTTTTATTGGTATACTGATTACCATTTCTCTGGCTGTGTCTGAAACCTTGGGAGTCGAAATGCTCTCGGGGAGTTCGCTCACAGACATTGAGTATGCAGAAGATATTGTTCTCCTTGGTTCAGACCTTCTTACCCTAAATAACTGCCGCACAATTTGGCGTGCCTTTCACACCTGCAAAGTGTAAAGTGCCGCTACAAAACTGAGTTGAATCAAACCCAAACCTCATGCTTGCAGACAAACCAATCTAAGTAGATGCATTTACCTGTGTAGCTGCATAAGTCCCGGTGGACTGGCTGTAGATGAGATTATTTCCCAAATGGGAAAACCAGGACAGCTTTTGCGGAAGTGACGTGACTGTCAAGGGCAGACTTCACGATGCCCGTTCGATCCATGCTGCTTTCTGGATCAGAGACTTGGTCTCTACGCGCAGCGGACATACGAGAGATGTCGACGTCTCCGAAGCATTGGTCGGGTCTGTTGGGAACATCGGGTGAGTTATGCTAAGGTAAGCCAGATGTTCTTAGGAGGGAGGACTCTTTCGCGATGGCTGAATTATCCACGCTTCATAGGTTACGCTGGTTGGGACATGTACTCCACATGTTAGGTGACTGTCTGCCTCACAGAGTTCTCTTCGCCCTGCCCTGTGCTGAGTGGAAATGTCCGAAAGGTGTATGGCCTGACAATGAAGTATAAAAACACTAACCGGTAAATTTAGTCGGGTCGAGGCCGCTGTACTTTTTTGCATGCACGCGCCTTTTAGAAATACAGTTGTTATGTCTCTTACTGGCGAGTCTTTTTCCGGCACTGGAGCGGGGAGACCAGTCCGATATAGCGGTAACCATACAGGCACAACACACTAGAGGCTGTCAGGAAAATTACTGCTATGCCGGATGCAATTTTTCATATACGCGACGCTTTACAGCCACACCGCAAGTTAACGGGCGGTTCACATTGGTGGAAAAGCAAACCACTATATTTTCTCCCGACTGACACCCATCGGGTTGAGTATATGAAGCAACCGCGTATCTCCTTGGTTCACTGATAGGTTACCGCGGAACAGTTCGACGTTGGTCAAACTAGCACTTCTGATTACCGGTGGAAGCAAAGAACTTACTGATCAAAATTACATTCGCAGGGAACCGAACTTATATGGATGCTCGTTTAGACTGTGCCCAAATAGCGCGAAACATGGAACGTCCTCTAAGTGAGCGCTTGAATGCTCAAATCTCAGGGACAGGTACTGCTAGAACAGGAAGGTGGACCTTGGTAATCCGTAAGTATACCGCACTCAGTTCGAACTTTGTGTTTAGCTAACCGAAAAATTGATGAAAATCACCATCATTCAGTCGTTCGCATCTGTATAAAATTCTTACTTCATCATGATATACTTTTGAAAAAAGTTTAGTGAAATTGGTGAGTAGGTAGCCATTCACTAGAGAAGCTAGTCTCTGCACCTTGCGAGGATACTTATTTCTCAGACGGTTGGATTGATGGTATTTAACTCCGTATTGTAATCAGGGTTGTAGCTAGGTAACCGTGCAGATGTTTCGTTCCGGGCTCGCTCGCAATGTAACAGCTGATATTCTGCTAGCCAATTGTGAAAGTCATCCAAGAAGCCTGGTATTTCCTCTGTCCCGAAAACCGAATCACTCAGTTAACGGCCTTCAATAGGTCCACAAAATAGGTAACGAGCAGAGTCCTGCTACGTTTGTCCTCGCATGTCATATGTGATTTTCGGGCTACCAACCGGAAGGAAAAAATCCAAAGTGTGAGTTTTTTTCGGTGGACTTGTTAGTCGGCTCTACATGTAGACATGGAAAAACGCATGTGGGAAGGTAGAAAATTTGTATATCATCATTGTCATTTCGATTGTTAGACCATACACTAATCTTCTGTTTAGTGTGCGAGGTTCGCTCACTGAACAAGCTCTTTAGGTTTCCACGTATGTCACCGAGACGGTATAGCGGAAAAAAACGAGAAGTGAGGTGGGTGTGAAAGTAAGTGCTTGAATTCGCATATATATATATATATATATATATATATATATATATATATAATGTACCCATACCTTGAATCACAAGTACTCTTGTGATGCAGGTTTTGAGATGAAGTTATTGACGGATTTCATAAAAATTCAACCCTAATGCTAGGCAGAGATCAGTTATCTCTGGAGCGTGCCGTCAGTATTCCAGACATACGGATAGGACAGCTGATCAACTTGAAGCGGGTGGATCTGGACTGTATCTCGCAGTTAACCTCTCAAAATATTTCTAGTCCTTGAATCAGCACCATGCAATACCTTCAGTCATCAGAGGCATTTGTCTCGTTGGGACTCTGGTTGTCGGCGGACTATAAAATTTTTGCTATCTCATTTGGGTGGTTGGACATCTGGAAATCAAGCCATGCACTGATGTTGTGTACGATGATGATGATGAAACGTTTGCAAGTCAGTTGTTCAGCTCGGCGAACAGATCCACAGACACCGGATCAACCCCAAACACAACACCTAAAAGCAGACAACCCGTTCGGTAGAAATATCAACAAAATATATCAGACTCTTCATGAATTTCCACAGGCTGATCATAAACTGCTGCCTGCATTCAATAGCTGCAGCAGTCCGGAAATTTTCTTGTCTCAGAGAAACGTGAAATATCTTCGGAAACGTACGTATTGAGCGGTTCCATCAACCTCAAGTTTGCCATTCTGCATAAATCTACAAACGATAGGTTACAAACCCCATCAAACGAAAGCTGGGATTCCCCGTAGAAAATTGTCCTGCTACCTAGAAATCAACCCACTAGATCGCAAAGAACAAATTTGGTGCTCGGTTATTAGTTCACTGCCTCTGTATTTCTGTTCATTCTGCGGATATGCCGCAAGCCATGGAGACTGTAAGTTTTGGTCTTGACTCTCAGCTGCCGGTGGGCCGTGAAAGTCAAGCGAACAGAAAGCATTAATGCACATCATGCTACCGATCCGGAGTACCGTATCAGTCGGGAACAAATCATCCAGCAATGCTGTTTGCGTCCTTCAGGCGAATTAACTGGTTTTGCTCTTGACGGTCAATCGTTATCTTGGCTAGTAGGCCAAGCAATTTCAGTCAAGCTTCGGCCAGTGTTTGAATTTTGATTGTCATAGCAATTGCCTTCACGATTACCAGGGTATCAACTTCCACATCTACTGATCTGGCCTTGAAAACCATGACTCGGGAAACATCATCCGCTTTCAGTGTCTTGTGACCATCAACTGTTGTGAGTACTTTTTGTATCGACTGCGAATACACCGCGAATACACCATGTATCTTAGTAAGATAGCATAAAGTAAGACATCTCCCCTAGTGTGTTTTACTGTCTCCATTTTTGGGAAGTTATTATTGAGTCTGACATTCAAAGAGGCGTTCAAAGAGACTACAAAATTTGCTGCTGCACTGTTTCGGCAAAATGGCAAGCCTGGTGAAAATTAAATCATTTGAACTGGAAGGGAATCGATCCTTTGGGAGGACTAAGTTGAAACTTTAGGGCCCACAAAAGTAGTTCAAATGGAGTCAGTATTGCTACGACCTTTTACTTCCTCTGTACTGCGCGTTTCAAGAAACGTGCAACTATTCTCTTCACGTCTTGATCGACCGCCTTCACCATTTCGAGAGATACGAACTCCTCTCTTCATGCGGGTTCTTGTAGCTGAATTCAGTAGCTTCACAGCAAGCATCACATCACTCAAGAGTCAGCTTGTTATACATTCCACTGATGCTGATCACTCCTTGATCGGTTTCATCACTGGAAGGACTCAGTAGTCCATTGTGCTTTGGACTGATTTACACATTGAAAATTCGTCCGCATGCCACTTGCCATGCGGATTCGAAAGAACAACATTTGCTAGTTTGTCCTAGTCATGAGTGCTTCAAATTTTCACAGCTTAACCACATGGCTGATGGATATTCCCAAAACTAATCTGGACTGCTGTTACGCAAAAAAAAATGAAATGTATCTGTGAACCTGCACCTAACGGTGATATTTTTCACCAAACCAGGTGTTCGGCTGATGTGCATTTAGTTTCCGAAAGCGCCTGCGGTACAGAATCTGGTGACATTTTTGGTGACCACGCAGGCTCACCAACGTCAGGCCAATCTACCGACACACATCCTCTGGGGTTCATTAGAATTTACAACGAAACATCAAATTTTGCTTCCAAAGTTACAGGCTGGAGCAAGTTAATTGCAAATATTTGAGATTCACATTGACAAGCATTTTTTGGCGGAAATTAAGCAGTTGTCAGATGATTTTCAATAACTGTCATTGTATGAATGATATTAGAATGACAAAATGTATTTGGGATGAAAATTGACCTTTTTACACATTGCACTGACGTATTACTCCACAAGAGAGCACTTTACTGTTGGTAGTGGAGCAGATTGTCTAAGTTGCCCAAATTCTTCCTGTGGCAAGACAGAAAAACACGGTTCTAGCGGCTAAAATTGCAACGATGTCATATTTTCAATCACACCCACACACACCAGTAAAGTTGGCTGAAGGCCAGAAACATGACGGAAAGAGCACCTGTTCATTCACGTTAACATCACATGAACTGAAGTCCATTGATTCACTGCTGTACTGCAAGTTCTGCTCGGGCCGAGAGTTACTATGAGACTATTTTGGTTTTATTGATTCTTTATCTGCTAGCTTCTTACAAACGATGCAGCTAGTCTGTTTCGCTTACCAGGAAGGATCAGTTAATTGACGTCTTACCAAATACGACGTACAGCAGCAGCCCCTATTCCCACAAGACTTGTCACCAATCTTGTCATGCACACTACATTTAGTTAATCTGACTCTTCCAACTAATAAAATTTCAGCAAGTTTGAACGCCGTCTGCCTGAACCCATAATGTGGCTGCTGTATCTGCCATAACAAACAAGTCAGGTCCGTTGGATTGTATGTCTCTAGTTTGCGGTGTCCGTATCAACCAAACGGTAAGATGTAATCATCAGCTGTTTTGAAACGGTTGAAAGCTTCGTGCATGGTACGCAAGTCGTTTTTTGACCGAGTATTCTCATGAAGTGACAGAGACAAGAAGGAGTTTTCTGTTTGTTCTCGGCTGAATTAACAATACTTACCAAAAGAAATCCGACAACCACACCTCCACAAATGAGCGCAAACTCCTGGGTAATCGCCGAGGTGTTCGCTGAAGTAACAAGCACAACTTGGTTATGTGCAATACGCAAGATTACTTTGGGTGTCTTAATCGAGGAGAATAGATACGTTTTTTGATTGTCTACCGAGAATGTTTTTGATGTGCCGTCCAGACGGACTGTGTTCAATTGGTCGGACAAATTATATACATATTCCATATTGGGAGGGTTGTGGACAAGTCTCGTTGTTCTGACAGGAAACGTGTTTCATGCGTGGTTGTATGGCTGATTCTATCACATTCCGCATAACAGGTGCTTTTTCCATGAGCACCTAAAATTGGTCTGTGAATGAAGCGGTCTAA